TCAAGGCTTGAAAACTCTTGTTCACTATCTGGAACAGAATCAAGGTCTGTCCTACCTGGAGCTGCTTGTCATCTCTCTTCCTCTAATTTGGACTGAAAAATTTCATCTGTCCAATGCATATGACAGAGACACAGGGAGTTGCTGAGTGGCATTACATTCAGCGATTAGTTGGTTCTGCTGGGTTTTTATTTGTTTTTGCAAGGATTTAACACTTAAGCAGTAGTTTGCTATCAGGTACCTCCCCTTCCAGGCCTTCACTAACGCTGCTCCCAACACATTATGGCTTTTCCTTTCCCTGGTCAACTTTTCATTCTTTCACATGTGTTGTAATCCTATCTGCTACAGCATTTGGATCGTGTCTAATAACATCACAGAATCATATCATAGAATCACAGAATGGCCTGGGTTGAAAAGGACCACATCATCTAGTTTCAACCCACTGCTTTCAACCCAACCATCAGACCAGACTGCCCGGCGCAGCATCCAGCCTGACCTTGAATATAAATATGGGCCCATGCTATTCCTAAGGAGGTGAGGCAAACATTATATTACTTCAATTTTTCAAAAACAGGGGAGCAGTTAAGCACCACCATTTCCTGGGCAGCCTCAGCTTCCACTGCTTATACTTCTCCCAGCTTATAGCTGAGAGGTCAATTCCCTGCTCTCTTCACTCACACTTACTGGGCAGAGTGTTGGTGCTAAGGGATACCTTTCAACACTGAGGGGATCCTGTCCATGACACCAATTAATATATCACGTCCCACCTGTGGGGAGGTGAGACTGACTAAGATTTGCAAATCTCCTCAGGATGGATTAAGGTGAAATAGCACTCAAGGTCCATGCGTAAACATCAAGTAGAATGGGAGGTTTCTACAGAACAGTTATCCTGTAGACACTGGCCTTCTCACAGCTACATCTGCCTAAGCTCTGTGGTTGTATGGGAAATCAAAGTAAGCCTTGTCTCAATTAACAACTTCAAGAGAAGAAAAGAGAAAAAGAGAGAGATATCACCAGTCTTGGACGCAGGATCAGATCAGTCAAAGGGTTTGTCTGGGGAAGAGAGAGTCCATCCCATGAGCCCCTACTTACACGTCCCCAGTTCCTGGACTTCTGGAACATTGCTCCAGTTCCAGGATTGGTTAAGACACTAGGCAAATCAAAGTGACACCAGGCCTCTTCCTATAACTTGACCATTTCTGGACCCTTCTTACTTCAGTTCCAGAAGTGGTTGAGATACCACTTACGTTAAGTGGACAGTAGATTCTTCCCTGTGGCTCAGCTGTCTCTTTGGGCACTGTCTAAAGCTCACAGTACAGTCACTTAGGACTCATCCCTTACATGGCTGAATGACTTAACTGCCATACATTCCCTTCACTACCAAAACACAGTAGGATTTCTGCCATAAGTTGAATACCAGCATACAATTGAACAAGTCTAAGTAGAACTCAATTTTAGCTTAGGATACCTCAGAGATGTTTATAGAAGAGCTACATCTCAAAGTCCTTAGACAAAAGTAGTTTAGCCAGTTTAATCAAGGTCAATAATGATATCACTTGCCAGGATTCATGGTAATCAGGCCATCAGCTAATTACGCTGACTAACATTCACACTTTAAACATCTTTCCTTGTAGCAAGATTAATTATTCTCAGTTATCACCTACAGGGTCATTATGCCTTTCTCACCAAACTTAAAGCTTCCCATTCTCTTTTTCTCCAAAAATATCTTTAGTACTTGTTGTCAGTTTGCCCCTGTTGTGTCAGAACCTTGTTCTGGCAGCTGTTTATGATGAACACAGAATCACAGAATCACCAAGGTTGGAAAAGACCTACAAGATCATCCAGTCCAACCATCTACCTATCACCAATAATTCTCACTAAACCAATCCCTCAACACAAAATCCAAACATTCCTTGAACACCTCCAGGGTCGGTGGCTCCACCACCTTCCTGGGCAGCCGTTCCAGTGCCTGACAACTCTTTCAGAGAAGTAGTATTTCCTAACATTTCTGATGCATGCCTTCTTGGCCACCTGAGCACACCGCTGGCTCACGTTCAGCTGAGCATCAATGAACGCCCCAGGTCCATTTCCTCTACACAGTCATCCAGCCACTCTGCCCCATACCTGTAGTGTTGCCTGGGGTTATTGTGGCCAAAGTGCAGGACCCAGAATTTGGTCTTCTTGAATCTCATCCCACTGGCTTCAGGCCAGCTATCCAGCCTGTCCAGATCCCTCTGTAGGGCTTCACTACCCCCAGGCAGATCCACACTTCCAACTAACTTGGTGTCATAAATGTCTTGGTGTCACTTCAATGTTTTACCAAAGCTACTGCTTTCCTATTGACCACATTTAAAAGCAAATACTGTGGGTTGTGAAAACTGAACCAGAAAGCTTAAATCGCTCTAACTATAGCATAGTTTTCTCATAGCCAATACATTTACTGTCATTTTAGAAAAGATTTTATGCAATCTCTGATGGCAACATTCACACTCAGCAATTCTCAGCAAACATAACTTCTTGAGAATGCTACCAAAATCACTTTGCTTAACCATTTATAGTGCAACTGTTCTTCCACACACAGAGATCAGTAAGCCAGCTCCTGTTCCAAGATGCCCATATAGCCTTTTATGTTACAGTGGCCAAGACAGGAAAGAGGCTTACTTACATAACATGGCATCATTCTAAGTTCATTTCTAGAGCTCAAGCATTAATTAGGTAAGTTGCATAAGTGTAAAAACAGAAAAGTAATTTCTGGTTCAACTCCAATTTAAATCATTTCTTTGCCTTAAATGAATGAAAAATATTTCCTGGTGCTTTTTTATATACTGTAATTAAATATGCTCCTGGATGCTCAATTTATTTCTTAGTGATAAGGAACTCCTATGATTAATGTAATTATCTACATGAACTAGATTATATTTTATTGTGTAATGAATAACTGCTTATCTCATTACAAAAAAAGTCCCAACACAGTAAACAGATACTTCTGTAATAGGCTTCTTTCAAAATAATGCAGAAAGAAAATGTGCACGATCTTCTGGGGATCTGTTCGCCCTGAACGTGGGAGAACATCTGAATTTATATGCTCCATTAAAAAAGCAAAGAACACTACAGATAAATGCAATTCCAGATACCTATTTAGTAGTGCTCTTTTCAGCAGCAACAATAGGTTATTCTAATCAAAAGTCGGAGGAAAAAAAAATCTATTAAGATGTATTGGTTTCCAAGAATAATTAGAAAATATTAAGCAAACTCACAGTGGAAGAAGGTACAGATTACCTTCAAATCTTAACATATACTTGACCAGAAAAAAAGTGCTTTTCATGTTTAGTAGCTCTTACATCACATGCCACATACAAGTAGACTTTTTTTTTTTTTTTTTTTAATAACCCGGGAGCACAGAAGAGGAAATTCAAAGAGATTTAGTCCTTTGTGATTTGTTCATCCTTTCCTCAAAATCAATATCACAGTTCAATCCACATCTAAACTACCTTTCACTAATAACAGTTTCTCAGCTAGACTAGGAACTTGATACAGTGCAAATCACCATCATGGATGTAAAGACCCATAAATACATATAAATTGTTTCATGATGAATGCCACTGCCTCCAGACGTACTATTTGGAGAGAAGGGTGCACGTTAGATGTTTTTACACAGTGATGTTTGTCCAGACCACGGTCTCCCCAGACATACAGCAACTGATCATTTCGTATCTAAAGAACTTCTTACCCAGGTTATTACTACAGCTTGCTTTTACTGTAAGGGAAACATTAGAACATATTCACAAAACAGTACTCTTCCTTTGCTATTCAACTCACTTCACTTTCTCTTATTACAACAGATAAACAGTTTAAAAACGTATCAACCAGTGGTTTTGTAACAAAACCGTCAAAACGCCAAGGACTAACAGGGATCACCTCTCACCACGTCAGACTAAAACAACCAGGAAACAGACAACGTTAAAACCGCATGAGATCAGCGAGGCACGCAGCTTGCCATCCCCACCAGGGAGTAGAAGCTTTGAGAACACACCAAACAGAGCACGGCCACGCAGTCAGGTTAGCTATCGGCTGGTTGCGGGGGAGCAGAAATAACCAATTTATCAGCAACAAACTGTAATGAGCTTTGGGAAAGCAACCAAACCTTTTCTGATCCCTTCACGCTTCCGTTTTCCTAACTTCTCACGAGGTGTAACCCACACCTTCAAGCACATGCATGCATTCATTTAGTTTAAAAGCCTGCTGCCTTCCCTTCCCCACGTGGGCCGCTCTCCCGATGACGGCCAGCACCGCACCGCACGACGTGCCTTCCGCGGGCTGCTCTTCTTACCCGAGCTGCTCACAGCACCGCCAACACTCACGCTCCGCTGAGTCAGCGCACCCTCAGTCCCCACATCGACTTCACGCTTACCGCGTTTCACCCGTTATTCCCTACCGATGGCCCCGATCTGCACAGCGGCAGCGTCGTGCCCGCGGCAAGAAGCGGATGGCACCCGCTCCTTCCGCCCGGCTCCCAGCCCGCTTCGGCGACCACTGCGGAGCCACGGCCGGGCGGGACACGCGGCACAGGGCCGGCGTACCCCGCACTCCGCCGGCTCCCTGGGGCCGCCCCGCCGGGCTGCTGCTGCCCCCGCGGCCCGGCCCGGCCCGGCCCGGCGCTCACCCAGGCACACGAAGAGCACGGACTTCGCTTCCCCCGCCGCCATCTTCGCTCGGGCACGACCGCGCGACGCGGGCCTGGAGCGCAGCCGCGCCGCCTGGCTTTACGGCTGTAGGCGGCCGCGGGTTTTGCCTGTTTTGAGAAAACACAGTCGAGGCGGAAAAAATATCTGTATAAAATTAAATCAATTTTTATTTCTTTTTAAAGATAAACCCTGAAAAAACTACGCGGCGCGGGTACGCGCGCTGGGAGGCGGGCGGGCGCGGCGGCGATCGCTGCGGGCAGGCGGTGGACGGCCGTCTCAGCCCCGCCCGCCTCACCTGCCGCAGGTGTGCCGCTCGGCGGGGCCGCCCCGGCGCTGAGCAGAGCGGGGCGAGGCCGGGCGGCAGCAGTGAGTATCCGCGGGGTGGGCGCCGCACCAAACCCTCGTGCCGGGCAGCGAGCCCCCGAGACGGGTGCGGGGTCGGGGAGCGCCGGGCGGCGCCCAGGGCTGCGGCCGTTCGTTGGGCGTCGAGAAGTTTTTGGGTTTTTTTGCGATGAGTGGTGAGGGACTGGAGCGGGCTGCCCTGAGCGGTGCTGCGTGCCCCGGCCCTGCACGCACTCACGGTCAGGCTGGACTGGGCTGCGAGCACCTGATGTGGCTGTAGGTGTCCTTGTTCTCTGCGGGGGCGTTGGACTGGATGGCCTTTAAGGGTCCCTTCCAACTCAAACGATTCTGTGGTCCCATATCGGTTATTGCCTTTCCCACGCGCCCAGCCCCGTGCAGGTGTGAGGAATGCGCAGCGTTGGAGCCAGACGGGGCTGTGACACCGCCTGATTATGGGCGCAGCCTCCTGAAACTGCAGGGCGAGTCCGGCTCCGTGTCCTGATCACACGCGGCTCTGCCATGTAGCATACGCCAAGCAGCACCCGCTGCTTTTATTTCTGCGTTCTTAAAGCGTCTTGAAGTCTTGAATCAGAAATAGATTTCTGCCTCCTACCTGTGTACTTGTGTTGGCTGGGGGAAAGCTGGGATTGTGCATGGAAGTGAGTGCTTTGGAGCTGATGGTCTTTGCAGGTCCCCTCTGAACTGTTCCAAAAGGTTTGACCTATTAAAGAAGGCTTGGGGAATCAGAATCATGGCCTTTCAACATATAAAGGGGGCCTGTAAGAAAGAAGGGGACAGGCTCTTTAGCAGATTCTTTTGGGACAGGACAAGGGGAAATGGTTTCAAACTAAAAGAGAGGAGATTTAGACTGGGTCTAAGGAAAAAATTTTTTACTGTAGGTATGGTGAGGCACTGGAGCAGATTGCCCAGAGAGGTGGTGGATGCCCCATCTTTGGAGATACCCACGGTCAGGCTGGATGGGGCTCTGAACAACCTGATGTGGTGGTTGGTGTCCCAACAGGAGACAACAACCTGATGTGGTTGTTGGTGTCCCTGTTCACTGCAGGAGAGTTGTACTAGATGACCTGTATTGGGTCCTTCCAATGTCAACTATGATTCTGTGCTCATAGGGAACAGAGATGTATACAGAAAGGGGAAACGATGGACAGGATGATCATAAAATCATAGAATGGCCTGGGTTGAAAAGGACCACAATGATCATCTAGTTTCAACCCCCCTGCTACATGCAGGGTCACCAACCACTAGACCAGGCTGCCCAGAGCCACAACTGGATGATGTCCAGTTTGACTGACAAAAGTGCTTTCTGTAAGAAATATCTGGAATATGTATTTTGTTAAGGTACCCAAATATATATTTTTTTCTCCTGGGTTACTACTGTAGCGTATGAGGCAGTTGTGCAGTTCACAAGGTGAAGGGAGGTGGGGGGCAGCTGTAGGCTGGCTGGTGCTTGTTCCCCTCTGTTCTTCTGTGCCTGGTGAAGAAGGTAAGCAGGATGGGGTTTGGAATTTTATTCTTAAAAGCAGAACTTTGTTTTAGTTAAACCTTTGTTGTGTAAAGGTTAATGTACTTGCTTAGAACCTTAGATTGCCTTGAAGTTTATTCTTAGTTATTTAAAATAGAGTTAGCAAAACAAAACTGCTATTCAGTTTGGGCTTTTTCTCTGTAGCATAACATGCTAAGCCTTGTATTTAACATGAAGGGAGACAGGCAGAACTGAATTCCTAGCTCTGCTTTAGCTTTGTTTATGCTACTTATCTTGCTTGGTGGGCAGCGCCCAACCCCTCTGGTACTGACTGTTGAGACATCAAACATATTACAATAAGTGTGTTTGAAAAACTTGCAAACAGGGCTTCAGCTAGGTGTTTTCCTAAGGCTTGGATGGCATGGTGAGTAGGTGCGGTGACGTTTTGCGCAAAAGCCTGCCATTCTTGTTGCACAAATTCTTAGAAGAGTTCACTTTTTAGTCTCGGACAGCCCTCAAGGTAACTACCTTTGGTGCTTGTTGTAGAGTATCCCACTGTCTCTATTCTTGAAAATGCAGATTTTTTGCTGTCTTTGTATAAACTATCATTTCTTTATCATCTGAAAGGTGAGTCTGTTCATGTCTTAGGCTGTTTTAGCTTCATTTGACGACAGTAGAATAGTTCCATATGTGTGTGACTGACATTTAATGCTCTAGGTGGAACATAATTCTTTTTCTGGCCTTTTCCAATGCCTGATCCTTCTGAATATCCTAAACTGAAAAGCTTGGTGTTGACTTGGTGTTGTAGTGCTCATAAAATGTCTCCAACTTTAGTGGCTAAAATCAATGATATTTATTGATGCTAAGTTTGAGTGAGTATAGTGTGTTCAGTGACACTAAAAAGGGTGGGTTTTCTACTGTTGATGGATAATTTATTAGCCTAACATCAATCCTAAACTATTGTACTGAGACATACCACTATGGACAGAGCTGATTTATAGAAGATGATAATTTATACAAACTCTGTACTACGTACTTACTGTGCATTTTCTTTCTATTCCAATGGTATATCTGTCTGGATGGCATTGTCTCATATTTCATGTCTAAGCATTTACTCTGCTAAAACCATGTCGTGGAACATAAACTCTTCTAGCAGCTGCTCCTGAGATGAGAAATAGGTCTCATTCTTTGTTGTTTTTAAACACCCTGACAGACCTAGTTAGCAGTTATCATGCTATTTTTTTTTTTTTGTTTTTGCTTTCATTTTCCCTCTTGTGTTGTCTGTTTGCCTTGAAACATTAAATCTATTTTGTTTTTAAAATGTTGGTTCAAGATCATCATGCATCTCCAATCTACAAACTTGAAGGAGCCTATTGTAATTGGTTATCGTTGTTCCAATTACCCACTTTTAGAAACACATTGAATACCATTTAGCAACTTAGAAAGCTTTTGTATTGATTAAGTTTACTAGAAATAGCTTTTCCAAATGTAGTGAGACCTATATTACTTGCGAGAGAATAATATGTTGAGTTTATTGGTAAGTGTGTTGATTTCTTCCCCCTGCCCTTTGTATTTATATTTTCTCCTAATGCCAAGATTTCAACTCAGCTGAAGTTAGGATTTTAGCATCCTTGCCGTTTTTAGGGGGGATTTTTGAAGATTTTAGCTACAGCTGTTCCTTTGCTGTGCCTCCCATGCAGGTGACCAGATGTTTTGTATGCTTCTCAGAAGAAGTCATTTGACTCACCTGTGCCTCTGGCAGTTAATGACTGTATTCACATACCTCAGTTCCTTAAAGGAACCATAATCTAATTAAAACATCTTGCATATACAGAGTAAACACATCTTTCTTTAAAGTGCCTTATTCAGCTGTGTCAGTATCATCATATTAATCATATAAATCTCAACTTGCAGCAGGAAGTTCATCCCTTTAGGAGTTGAAAGGAATCAGGAATACTCCAAAGTGACTTCAGTTAAAAAAAAAAAAAAAAAAAATGTTGGGGACCAAACTCTTCAAATGCTTTTGATAAATACAAGTTGCTACACGTGCTATTTTTTTTTCCCTAAGTTTTTTTGACCTCATAGATTTTCCTTTTTCAAGGAAATAGTTAATTCAAAGTGAGGTTGAGGGCTGAGAATCCATAAAATTACCAACTGTTACACTTCCTGTTTGGAAGTCCTTTTCCCTTTGAGAATAGGAATAAAAAATATGCACATGGTGAAAGTGAATGTCTTATTTATGTGTATGCATTTTTCTAGCATTAACAAAATGAAGATTCCATATGAAAAAACATTGATCTCCTCTGCTGTAGGAGTACATGCATAATTGATAGCAAAGTCTGAAAAGGCAGACTAGATTGTCAGTGCTAGCAGGGATTTCTAACTGAAAAACTTGTATTTTGGGCTCCCTGCATGACACTCACATTGATGTAACTAACATGTATAAATACTTCTACCTATCCAGTATGGGGAGGGGAGAAAGATTATTTACATTAAATTTGATAGTACAAAACCTCGCATGGCTGAGAAGGTGCACATTAGAGTCTTCCAGTCTTAGTGCTGCTCAGCTGCTGCTCTGCAAGGGCACTTGCTTCCTGCTGTCATACTGGTACTTTGCCAGAGCACAAAGCATTTGTACCAAGCTTGGTGAGGTTTCATACAGCGCTGTATGAAACTTGGTAACATTTCAGGAATCCAAATGGTAAAGAATGTGATACAAATGCATGGGATCAGTAGAAAGGCATCATTGTACAGAGAGCCTGTTATCTCCTCTTCAGCTTTGTTTTCATTGCCTTACATGATGTGTTTTCTGTTGTATATGTTGTCTCCTTTACTGTTCTGTCAGAGGCATCTGGAAAATTGTGCAGCATACTCAACTGGTATGATCTTCACTGTCAGTGATTGCTACTTTCTCCCTGGGACTGCTTCCTTAGAATCCTTCTGCCATAGCAGCAGTGCTTTGCAGTAGGATACGTAAGTTCTCTAACATTCCTCTCTCGTGCACCTTGAAGTCTTGTGAAAGCAGTAACTGCCTGTCCTTCTTGGCTCCAAAATAAGAAGCATGGAGCTCAGGTGCTGACAGCTGGAGCACAGTGGGTCCCAGCTGGTAATTATTAACTTTATTGTATTCCATCCTTTTCCTAGAAGTTCTTTTTCAGCTTCTACCAACACTTCCTTGGACTTCACAGATATTTTTTTGACATCTATCTAATCTTTGCTGTCAATTGTTGGCTGTCAGTGCTGGAAATATTAAATAGAGCAAGGCTGGACAGAGATGCACTTTATAGTCTGCTGATTAATACTTACTAATTAGCTGCTGCTCTAAGTCTACCTCACTTCATTTTGGGTTAGGCAGAATGCATACAGTGCATGTCTTGCACGTTGCTGAAGGATTTCCACTACCAGACGGATCCCACAGTATCATGATGTTTCATGTTTATGAAACCAAAATTACATCTTTCTAATTGTAACGCTGAGTTGAAATCTCTTGTTTAGACTTTTCTCCAGCACTGGAGAAGGTCACTGGTCTTGATTTTCAGGT